AAAAAAAAAAAACTTCCATTTTTCCCTAATTGAATTCGAACAATCAAAAGCATTATGATTTAGGCCTTATCTTGATTATCATTTCTTTATCAAAATAATCATAGCATTTATTAAAATACACCTATAATTAAAATGTAAAATTAAAATTTCGCAATAAATATTTGAATTAATAATTGATATAAACTGCCATTTTTCTTTCTTTTTTTTTTTCATTTCTTAATATATATTAACGCATGTTGATAATGATTATATTTTTGTTAAATTTTGTTTTAAAATATTATTCTGATCGTATAAATAACTATACCTATTCAATTTTAAAATAAAACAAAAAAAAGAAAAGGAGAAAAATTTACCAATATCAGGACATGTCAACTAGATGTCATACATATATATATACTGTCATTGTACAAAAAATTTTTAAAATTTCAAAAATGTTTTCATATCGATTATTACAGAATTGTAACAAATATCTGATTGTTACTTCTATTCGATGTGTCACTTTTGGGAATAAAATTAGTAAAAAAATTAAAAACTCAATTTCTTAAAATCAGAAATTATGAATAATACTTTATATAGACATAAATAATTTCAGGTATTAGTAAATGATTGTCATCCGAAATGAATTTATCCAATGTATTTACATAATATGAATATGTCAACTTGTTTTCTTTTTTTTTTTATATATGTAAATTATACAATATACTCCGGAAATTTGTTAATGAAGCATTCCGAAATTTAAATGATTAATTCATATGTGATTAATTCAAGGTAACAAAAATGAAATTGTAAGATTTAAAAAAAAAAAAAGAAAGAATGAAAAATAAAAGTAAAGAAATTTTTGATCATCAAAATTATCAAAATGATATAATATTGTCATTCTATCTGATAACATTTTACTTATCAATATTGGAAATTATCAAAAAAAAAAAAAATTGCCTAAATACACAAAGTTAACATTGAAGAAAAATAAAGTTTAAATTTATTTTTAAGCAAAAAAAAAAGAAAAAAAATTTAGAGAGAAGAGAAAAAAAAACAGAGTGAATAAGTGAAGAAAAAAAAAAAACCAATCAAACTAGTGATTCAAGAGAAAAAAAAAACGAAAGAAAGAAGAAAAGAGAAAGGCGATAAAAATTTTCGTCGAAAAAAAAAAAATGCAAAATAACAAAATTACGAATAAACAATTCAATTTGTCCTTTTGGATTTTTGTTCAAATACAAAAATTTTCAGCTAAATTTTTTTGTTCAAATCATATTTTGAACATTTATTAAACATGCGGAAAACATGAAAAAGAAAAGAAAAAAAAAAAACTTTAATACTAAAAAAATTTTCAAATGTTAATATAAAATATTGTAATAATAAGAAAAAGAAAAGAAAAAATTTTTTTTCAACAATTTAAAAAGCTGAAGCATTCATCAAATATTAGAGGAGGTTTACTTCGAGATTTTTTGATTGTTTACATTTGAAAGACGAAACGACGTCATACGAAGTCATTTATGTCACCAATTTTCTCCCTCCCTCTCTCTCTTCCTCTCCCACTTCATCGATTTTCTCAAACCTTTTCATGCTTTTCTAATGCAAATGCAAAAGCAAAAAAAAAAAAAAAAAACAAAAAAAAAGAAATAAGAAAATGATATGATGCACAAAAAATTTGAATATTCAAAGTTTAAATGAAATTTTAATAATTTTTTAAATTTATCAATTTAATCATTCTTATATCTTTTATGATTTTTGATCGATCAATAATTCCTAAATTTTATTTGCTACTGCTAAAATTGATCATCTGATTGTTTTGTTATTAATGATTTTGTGATTATCATATATGATAAGGTATAAAAATTTTGATAGGAAATGGATAATAACTATT